TTAGGATAGATCAATATTTCTCTATGATAATTTGTGTTTTTATATGCATATCGTTAAATGTTAAAAAAATCTTGGGGGTTAAATTATGGTTCGTAGGAAAGCCCTAAACACACATATTTGTTATTCAGTTGATTGGTTGTTGACATCATGGTCAAGCCATGCTCTTATCACAAGAATGTGGTCTCTCAATTTTATTGTTGGAAATTCTTCTATGAGTAATTGACAGTCAATGGTATATATTCAAAGTTTTAATGGTTGCCTATTGTTAACAATACAATCATCGACCAAAGAACATTATTTATATATCTTTGGGTCACCATACAGTCTTCAACAATGAGCAAAAGATCACATCATGTCAAATATGACCAGGCAATGATATTATTTAAAGTTCATCAATTTTTTTCTGAGATTAATTTTTATATTTTGGTCTGATGGAGCAGTTATTGGATAAAGTTTCCTGCGGCAAAATGTTGCTATGACATTTAGCATGTAGAGGGCCTTGAGAAGACACTAGCTTGAATATTGCTACAGTATAAAATTATGGAATGCAACACATAGAAAATACAGGATGAATGAAACTTAAGTTTTAGGTGGAAACACAGTTGAACACAACCACTAACCAATTTTGATTCCATGTTGAATATAGTATTCACCCTGAATTCAATCTGAATTCAAGGTGAGTTATTGGTTTAAACAATGTTGAAGCAACCATTATTCAATATTGATTCAAAGTTGAATATCAACGTTGATTCAACGTAGGATTTCAACGTTGATACAAATTTGCAAAATCTAATAATAATTCAACATTGATTCAACATAGAAAATAAACATTGATTCAATGTTAAATCAACGTTGTGTGCCTGCTAGGCGGCCACGTCCACTCTGTGTTTTTGTTAGATGTATTTCTATTTGTATTCATCTGATGAGTTAAGCCTTTTTCAACTGATTTTTATAGTTCGTTCTTATGTTGTACTGTTACACCACTGTACCAGGTTAGGGGGAGGGTTGTGATCCCGCTTTCATGTTTAACCCCATCATATTCTGTTTGTATAAGTCAGGAGCCTGTAATTCAGTAGTTGTCGTTTGTTGATGTGTTACATATTTGTTTTTTGTTCATTTTTTGTACATAAATTAGGCCGTTAGTTTTTCTCGTTTTAATTGATTTACATTTGTTATTTCGGGACCTTTTATAGCTGACTATGCGATATGGGCTTTGCTCATTGTTGAAGGCCGTACGGTGACCTATAGTTAATTTCTGTGTCAATTGGTCTCTTGTGGAGAGTTGTGTCATTGGCAATCATACCACACCTTCTTTTTTTATATTTGATGGGTTTTTTTTACAAATTGTGACTTGGTTGAAGGGTTGTCTCATTGGCACTCATACCACATCTTCTTATATCTAAAAATCAAATATCAACTGCTCACTACCCATGCTACCGTATAATTCAAATATTTATTGATAATAAATCACGATCATATTGTTTATAGTGGAGACCAGAATCTGTCAAACGCATTTGCTCTTTTATTTTTGTTTGCAATTTAAAACTCATTAGATTGGTATGGTTTTATTCTGAATTTAAGTCCTAGTGCATGTGGTTTTAAGCAATAATAATTAGCAAAGATATAAACAAACTCTAAATAAATTCCAAAAAACTTTCTGTCTTACTGATGCTGAATTGCTCATCAAATGATTAAATTGTCTGTAAAAATGACAACCAAAATTTGTAGGTAACGTTACAATAATAAAATGTTTGGTTGTTTTTTTTTGTGGTGTTTGATCCAATATCCATGCAATGTGGTAGTCCTACGTTGGTAGTGTTAACGTTTATTCAACAAAGAGTTTATTAGATGATGCCTGTATCGTAGGAAATCGTATATTATTTGGAAATATAAAAATGTCAAATTTAATTATTTTAAGAGTCACATTATCAAATAGAAAGTGATACGAAATATTTTTCATCACTAGTTGGTAGAATGTTATGGGCAATATGTGCATTGGATGACCAGGGCTATGTAACCACAATCCTGTCCTTTTTCCTCGAATGGGACATCACAAAATCCGACTTATCATCAGATTTGGCCTCACATTAGCAACACGAAGGATATTTCATATGGAATATGATCTGTTTATCCTTCTGCGGCTGCTGATGTTATCCCCAGTTAGGTAGGGATCCATGGTGTTGTGTCTTGAGTTTTCTGTGTATTTTTTTTACTGCTGTGTGTTTCGAATTTATAATAAAATCATATAATACATCCTCTAATGTCAGCTTGAGAGTATCATCATTTTAGATTGTTTCTAATTTCAATTGTTACGATTTCATACCCCCTGTGATGCTGTTAAATTGGACCGATAAAAAGTAACTGCCGAAATTTTTTTTTTAATTTATTTATTAAACTTTTTATTAACGTCTTTGTGAGAATTATTTGCAAGTATGTTTGGTTGTTTTAATTCAGTTGTGTTGTATGTCTGTGAGGTTTGTTTACGCAGATTAGGTTCCTTGATCCAATTATTGTCCCATTGTCACATTAAACACTTATGTTTGTTTTGGGCGGTCTCCCAATATTGTCAAAAAAGCGGAGCTATAAATAACAGTTTAACAGATGAGAGCAATAAAACACAGCTTAACCTTTTTTCTTCGGAATATGCTGGTAGCAAGACCGGACGCTGACATATTGGTTTTCCAGTTGTTCGTTGATATAGCCTTTAGTTTGATTCTTTCATTTTTTTATAGACTTCCCCTTAGTCATAACAGTCCTTATTTGATTCATTTCATATTTTGAAGGTTTGTTTATTAATATTACTATCATTTTACTACTTGACAGTTTCATGATATTTGTCATATTTTTATTGACCATATTAATAACTTTTCATTCTCATGGAACTCAACTGTGCTTCTCTTCTTGCCAACTTGTTTCTTCATACATACGAGGCTCACTTCATCGATAAGCTTGAAATATTGAACATTGTAAATACGTTAGTGACACATCTCCATTAATCCCGATAGGGAGTGTACACGGATTCCACTGTACCCTCGCAGCTCTCGAGGGATCTACGTACATACATACATACATACATAAGCTTCATAAGTAGAATTATAAGATGCACGCAAGTACCCGTTAACTGACATTGTAGTAGAATAGAGAATGTACACGAGGAATGTGTCAAAGAGACAATAACCTGACCACAGAGCAGACAACAGTTTAAGGCCAACAATCAACGCCATTAATCCTTCTATCACATGTGCCAATTAATTCGTTGCTCTGCAAGAGATTCCCAAGCCTTCGAGGGCAATCTGATATTGGAACTCTGCCATAGGTTTACATGTTTTCGATGCCAATCTGACATTGTTATATCGCAACATATCTACATGTCCACGATGTCATTCTGACAAAGTTACTTACTTTAATTTACATCATCTAAAGACTAAATGAGTTTTTTTTCTAATATATTCAGGAAAAGAAAGCATCAGTTGGAATCAGAATGATTTAATGTATTGTATTTACCAAGGTTTTATCTACTATTTAACAAAGTAACAGCCTATTCATAAGAAAGGTACATAGAGACCATCTATCTTTTGGAAGACATTCACCTTTCAAATAGTTGCTGTATTTGCCAAATATACAAACAAACAAACAGAATAAAAAAGCAAATCAAAAATGTAAAAAAAGTGGATATCACCCCTGGTGGTAATCGTGTTACTCAGTCTCTATTTTGTTATGCTGTGCTTTGTAAACTGGTTGTCTTTTAATCGTGTTTTTGTCTTTTTGCAATGGCATTGCCAGTTTGTTTTCGACCTATAAGTTTAACTTTTCCTTTGGTAACTTGCGCATCTTTTTAAGTTGGTATTTTCTACCCGCTATTCAAAAGCAAAAGATATAAGTTTAAGTTTCTGTTCGTAGGTAGGGCAAAATCGTTCTTGGAAAAAAAAACCACTGTGATTCAAACAAAATATTCTCTGAAACTGACATTATTAAGAAGTTTGATGTCTTGATTGACAACATATTTGTCACGTTTGGAGGACGTGTTTTTCAATCCCATGGAATTCAACTGTAGTCCTCTTCAAGTGATTTGTTCCTTTTTTCATATGAGTCAGACTTCATATAGAAATTTCTTGGGAAAAATGAAAAGTAGTTAGCAGTTGCCGCTATAAAGATGATGTGCTTTCGCTTAATAATTCAAAATTCAAATTTGGTGACTATGTTGAACTCATCTATCCCATCGAACTTATGATAAACGATACATCAGATAAAGTTAAGTCGGCCTTTTATCTTGACTTACATCTAGAAATTGACAATGAGGGTCGGTTGAAAACAAAACTTTAAGACAAAAGAGATGATTCCAGCTTCCTAATTGTGAACTTCTAATTTTTATGTAGCAGAATTCCAGCAGCACCTACATACAGAGTATATATCTCTAAGTTGATACGATATTCACGGGCTTGTATTTCCTATCATGTTTTCCTTGATAGAAGGTTACTGCTCACTACATGCACTAGGAAGCTATTAAACTGAGAGTTGCAATTGGTGAAGTTGAAATCGTCCCTCGTAAATTGTACAGACGCCATAACGGGGTGATTGACAGTTATGAAATATCCGATTCACAGATGACAACAGATATGCTCCAAATGTCGTAACTACAATCCCGTCCCCTTTTCCCGGAATGTAACCTACCGAATTGGACTTATCACCGGGTTTGTACTAACATGAGCAACATGACGGGTGCCACATGTGGAGCCGAATCTGCTCACCCTTCCGGAGCACCTAGGACCACTCTCATTTTTTGTGGGGTTTGTGTTGTTCAGTCTTTAGTTTTATATGTTGTGTTTTGTGTACTGGTGTTTATTTGTCTTTTCCTTATAAGCCATGGCGTTGTCAGTTTATTTTTGACCTTTCAGTTTGAATGTCCCTGTGGTATCCTTCGCCTTTCTTTCACATAAATCAACTAATGGCAGCAGTTGATATGATAAACATTTTTGTCCAAATTATTCATAATGTAAACGTTTAAAATGAATCCACACGATGACATTTATTATGCATGATTCATGCAATCAATTAGAAATTATGCAATAAATGCATCTGTTTTATATTTGACGTCAAATATGAATGCTTTCTACAATTTGAACTCTTTTCAAATTTCATTTTACCAGTCCAGCATTTTTCGCCATACTGTAGAAGACGCTGTCTTTGTTTTGTAGTAAATTGGTGGGGGAATCAAACTCCTTTATTCTTCCAGTTTCAAGTACCATAACTCTGGAATAATCAAATACATGAACATGTAAAGATTCAATATGACAATAATATAAAAGCAACTTTTGTAAATGCGCTTGACTAAATCAAGTAGCCATTTTATCTTAAAGTCAAAACTAAAGTAACTACCATAAATATAATGCCATCATAACAGGAAAAGAAGAATAGTACGAGGAATATCTGATAAAACAAATCGTGAAGAAATAAGTTTAAACACATCTGATTACAGGTTTTTTTTTTTACAGAAAGAGCCTACACTCGACTGAACCATTAAAAGAATTATAAAACTTATAAAATACCAGTTTTGAAATGACACTTATTTACGTTGTTTATGGATGTTAAACCGTTTGTCAAGGGATAACGGTGACAACGGTATATACAGTGGTTAATGCTTCATCGAAAATGACTTGCATTTGCAAATACTAGATTGTTGTGTTAATTTTGTTTATTAACGGAACATTATATTCTATTCTGACCCTCAGGAATGTATTCATTAGTTTTTATACATTTATTTTAAGGCGAAGCTTTCCATAGTTATAGCAAAATTGGTATAGTGTCTGAAAAGTTCAAATTTATTAATCAATCGAACAAAAGAATTAAGGTTGTGTATCATTTGGACAAAGGTAATCTTTAAAGCTTTGTTTAAGAGCTTTTTAAGGTTCATACTCTCAACTGGTTAACATTTGTGGCTTTCAAATATTTGTGTTTACTTAATACCATGAATCAAGTGTATAGGTAAGACATGTGTCAGGTGCACGTAACACAGTATCAAACGATACGATTGAAGATCAGTTACATATTAAGTATAACAGTTTTTTTTTTCATTTCATAAAACTTTCATAATAGAATTTAAATTAATTTCTACTGTATTGACAATCAAAAAATTTAGTTATCATCCTGCAACTTCTCATATCGCTTCGAGCTGATGTATGCATATTAAAAGTGAACAATCAATGGGCATCCTTATAAATTCCTCACCTGGTGTAATCCATAATTGTGTTTAATCTGTGAGCTATGGTCAATACTGTACAATCAGCAAACTCTGTTCTAATTGTGTTTTGTATAAGTTCATCTGTTTTTAAATCAACGGCAGCAGTTGCTTCATCTAGCACCAAGATTTTTGTCTTCCGTAGTAAGGCTCTTGCCAAGCACACCAACTGGCGCTGACCAACACTGTAACATGTGTTAATGAAACAAGGTAGTATCATGTAAAGGCAATATATAATGAACATTAAGACTTAATAGAATATTTCTTTAACTTTTGACGAAATTTTAAACATCCGCTTATCAATTACGCCTGTAGAAAGTATAAGGCATTTGATTCATGTTTGTTTTCAAGTAAACACTGTTCCAACATTGAAAGATTATTGTTGTCGTACCTTAGGTTTTCCCCGCCTTCAGAACATTGGTGATCCATACCGTCTTCCAGTCCTTGGACGAAATCTTTTAAATGGGCATGTTCTAGTGCTCTCCAAATGTTTTCAGTCGAGAAAACGTCAAACGGGTCCAAATTCATCCTGATGCTTCCACAGAAAAGAACTGGATCCTATGTATAAATAGATAACGGGAATAATATGATGTCCATATCATTAAATAAATGAACATGTTCTTGGCAGGAAATTCATAAGGTATGCCTACGGAAAACGTCAAGATAATCGTTGTGATTATGGAAACAACAGTTTATGAATTTTCTCCGCTCGAAGCTTGTATTTTTTTTTATTTTTCTTAATTGAACTTCATCAGGAAATATCAAAGTCTAAATTTAAAAACTTACAAAACAATTAACCTCAAAGGAGCTCGAGAAGCTTTTATGAATTAAAGAAATTTAAAAAGAAAAGTCACATCCATATGAGGTCTGCTTTGCCTGAGAGATTCTAACCACAAGTTTCTTTCTAATTTAGTTTTTTAGGAAATAATTTAACAAATGTTTATCAGAAATCATATCATGCATATCTGTAGTGGAACGCTGGCTACTGAGAGGAGTAATATGAAAGTTGAAATTATGATTATAGATCATCAGATGATTCCTGGTCTTATTTATAATAAACTCTCACCTGTGGTATGATTGTGATCTTTGATCTTAAATCGTGAAGCCCAATTGTGGAAATATCGACACCATCGATAATTATATTGCCTTGTGCTGGTTCAAGTATTCTAAAGAGGGCCATTGTCAATGACGACTTTCCTGCTCCAGTCCTTCCAACTATCCCAATCTTCAGTCAAGTAAAAATAAAAATATTTTAGAGTAAAAGAAGAATTGACTTTTATACTACAATCGTGTGTAGGATGTTAGGCCAGAAAATGAGTTTTTTTTCAAATCCCAAGCGTGTTGTTGTTTCAAAATTTAAACGTGCATTTTATTCTTAAAAAGTTCATCATAGAAGCCAAGCTTAAACTTTAATATGCTATAAAAGCGTTACGTCTACATTATTCATATCAGCGGCACTCAATTTACAGTTTGAAATGCAAACTAGAATGCAAACATACACTTAACATTATATACATGTAACACTCAATATGCAAATGCAAAACATTGTCAAATTAAATAGCATATGCAATCTTAAAATATAAAACCACATTATGAAACAAAGAGGTGGCATTGCAAAGGTTTGATTTATTTCAATTCAAGTCTAGCAAAACATAGGATATTGACACCATATACATGCAACTAGAAATATCTAATAATGACAAAAATGCATACAATAAGCAGTTCCTACCTTTTCACAGGGCAGTATTTTACTGGTTATTCCTTTTAATACTAAATCAAGGTCCTCTCTGTAGCGAACACCATAGTCGTTCATCTCTACACGACCTTCATCTGGCCATGTTGGTTTTGGCTTTGTTTCTTGAATCCTCCATAACGCCTACATATTATCAGATTGTTTGAGATAACTTGTACACAATAACATAATACCACAAAATATATATTAGATAAAATTATTTTTTTCACAAGAAAATATTTGAAGAGAAATGGTTGCTTTTACTGATAGAAATCCTTAATATATCATCTAATTTCATATGTTTGTAAGTTTGTGTATGTGTTTAATATTTAATCAATAAAACATGGATTGCAGACAGCAACCAACGACGGCAACTTGGTAGCAGATCCCAGTGTTGAGTCAGGCATTTAAACATTTGTCGCAGTTTATTAATACTTGGGTACTCAATCCTCTCCAAATCAGGAATACTAGTATGACAGTCAAATATGAGAAATGAACTGTAAAAGTCAGCTGAAAACAGCTTGACCATATCGATACGAAATACAACAATCACCAACATGAAAGACAAAAGAAACACAGTATTATAAATCTTATCTTTTGGTCTTTTTAGTTTTTTGGCATGTCGTTTTCAGTCTATTTTCGACTTTTTAATGTCCCTTTGGTATCGTTCGCCTCTCTTTGAGAGCACTTCGGCGCAAAATGCAAGTGAAAAGAAGCGTTATGTGATTTAGGTATTCTCATATTGTATTTGAGCCGACATAAAAGCTATACTCTTCTAATGCAATAAGTATAATGTATATACATGCATTTGAAAAAATGTTCATCACATTTTTTTGTTATCTTTCGTTTGTTTTTCAGTTGTCAAAATTTTACAATTACCCCTACAATCACCAACTGAATATGGTTTTTGGGGTAAACATTGAATAAAATGTGAAAGACTATCAATTTATAAACTTACCATTAGTATGCATGCATGTCTAAATATAAACTAATATATATTTCCGCACTCAATTGTATACCTATCAACAAAATTATTTTTATTTACTTCTGTACGTTATTTTCTTTGGCGGTATTGTGTCTAAGGTTATGGTTGTCTTTCTGATATTGTTTTACAACTAACACCCTTACTTTATTTTTTTTGTATTGAAATTGTGTCATAGATCAAATGTATTCGTTCAGTGTATGTTCACTTGTTTTGTTAATATGTCTTTTGATTGAGTTAAGCCATTTCAATCTATATTTTATAGTGTGTCTTTCTATGTTGTGATGTAAAACTATTGTTTCAGGTTGTGTGAAGGTTGGCGCCTATTAACACGTTTAAACCAGCTGCATGTGTTTGTACCTGTCCTAAATCAGGAACCTGATGTTCAGTGGTTGTCGTTTGTTGATGTGGTTCTAAAGTGTTTCTCGTTTCTCGTTTTTTTTTATTTAGATTATACCGTTGGTTTTCCTGTTTGAATGGTTTTGGAATGTAATTTCCAGAATAAGAAATAAATTTCAAGAACTATCAAAGCGGTTTGTGTTTGTACCGGCCGACAAAGCAGCCAGCAATGTGGTGGTGGTATGCCGTAAATACTACACGGACGTTCTTAAGAATGAAATTTTAAATTCTTCCACATTCAATTCCGTGCGCTCCACAGAGAGACATATAGTAAACATACACATCATAACCACATCATAGCTTAAGGCTTCTTCTGAACATTTGAAGGTCCCTACTATGTATTGGTTACCTAAACTACACAAAAAACCAGTAAAATATCGTTTCATCTCGGCCTCTAGTAAGTGTTCTACAACTAATCTTTCAGTGCTTTTAACAAGTTCCTTAACTACTATCAAAGAACTTATCATAAACTATTGTAATAAAATATATGAAAATACTAGTAATGGAATTAACTATTTTTGGAGTGTAAAAAATTCTTTGGATGTTTTAGATAAATTACATGCTTTCGATGGTCCTTTCGATTCTGTTGACAGTTTTGACTTTTCTACTCTTTAAACAAAAGTTTTCCTATTTAATTGAATGGTCGTTTGGTAAATCTGAATGCAAATATATTTGGTGCAACTCATTTAAAGCCTTCTTCTCTAATGAGAAATGTAGATATGCTAGATATACTTACTGGAGGTGTGATGAGATGTTTGAAGCTGTTAATTTTCTCCTTGATAATATTTATGTACGTTTCGGCAACACAATTTATCGACAGGTTGTAGGTATTCGAATGGGCACTAATTGCGCCCCTTTAATAACAGACTTGTTTTTGTACTGTTATGAAGCATAGTTTATGACCAAACTCAGTAAAGACCCGTCTAAATTGCATTTAATTGATAAATGCAACAACACTTACCGTTATCTTGATGAAATTTTACGTTCTATAATCAAGAATTTTCTAAATATACTGCCAAAATTTACCAAAAGGAACTTACTTTAAATAAATCAAATTTAAACGGTAATAACTGTCCTTTCCTAGATTTAGATATATCGGTTTTACACGGGAAACTCCACACTAAATTTACGACAAAAGGGACGATTTTTCGTTTCCTATGTTAATTTTCCCTTTTTGGATTGTGATGTTCCTTTGGCACCATATTACGGTGTTTATATTTCACAACTCGTTCGCTATGCCCGTGTCTGTTGTGACGTTTTTGATTTTAACGAACGTAATCTATGTATTACTGGTAAATTATTAAGCCAGGGATTTCGTTATCACAAAGTAGTTAATATCTTTACTAAATTCTTCCAGAGATATAAAGATTTGGTTTTGAAGTTTGGTTGTACCTGTAGAAAACTTATTTCAAACGGGATAGCACATCCTCATTTTTACGGAGATGTTGTTTACAGTACCCAAGAATTTAGAAACGATCCTGGTAAACTTATCGATCCTTTAAATAAACTTATTCTAAAAGGTTACCAATTCAACACTGTAATTAGATCTTTGAATATTGTTTTTATTGGTATTAATATTGATTTTGTTATCAGTAAATTAAAAGCAAACTAAATATTGTTGTTATATACATATACACATTCATGGACCACAATCTGTCGATACCTGTATCTTGGCATTGCACAAGGTCATGTTTAAATTATCTGACTTTTTATGACGTCTTTACACTAAATCCATTGTATGCTGGATGTGAACTGATTGATAATTTAGTCTTACATGCATGATTTTTTTTATTAATTGTTAGTGACTTTGAACTAGCTGTCAGTAACTACGAGTACTCTCAGATCTGTACTTAGTGTTTTTTTTTGTTGTTGTTGGGATATACAAGTACCCGCCCTGCAGGCACGCTTTGTTGAATCAACGTTGAATCTTTGTTGATTTTAGGTTATACATTGATCAACAAATATTCAACATTGATTCAACGTTGACAATTCAACGTTGAAATTAGAACATTGTTTCAACGTTGAATTAACATTGTGTTGAAACACCAATATTGAACAAACGTTGGCTAAACAATAGATGATCATATATAAAACCCAGTAGTTGTGGATACCAGAATTGTCAAAAAAGAAGTATTGGGCACATCACAATTTTTTTTAAATTGACAACGATATTCACATGAAATAGAATATTCAGTAGATTTATCACTTATTGTCGTGGTGATAATAGAATAATATATAAAACAATCGCAGTGTATATCAGCATAAATTAATCATGAACTTTGCACACCATATAATAGAAATTCCCAAATTTCACCCACCCCAAAACATAATAAATTAATAGAACCAGCTTGCATACAGAATCATACAGTAAATATTAATATTTGTGAATAACCCCTTCCCCTAAAAATATGCCCCCTTTTTCCGTGGCTGCTGATGTCAAATATCTTGTTTTCATTCCCTTTTTTCTATTCTTTTTAACAATCTAAAGAGAAAGACGTATATATCAGTTCATAAACAAAGGTTGATAACTTGTAATATAAACAACCGATAGATCTATTAGAATAGTGATTTTTAAATTTTCGCGGCATTTTTTACATTTCTATTTTAAGACAAATTCAGATATGCGCATGCGCAGTTGTTTTTGTTGCCAAAGTTTGAATATCCGCTTTCGAGCCCACAAGGTGATTCTACAGAGTTTTTATTAAATCTTTCCTGTATACAGCTTTTATATTTTATCGTAAGTATATATAAATTGTTGTGATTACAGTAAATACAGTATCGTATTTTAGAAATGTGAGCATATCAAGTTGTTATGAAAACTGTACTGAAAAGTTGAAATTTTACACGAGGAAAAGGGGGATGTTTAGCATGTTACCATTCACGATTTACCTTGCAACGTCTTATGAATTTTTATCGTTGACTATTTGAATTCATCATATGATTGAATCAAAAGTAAAAAGAAATTTTATCTTTATTTACCTGTTCAATTCAGTTACACGAAATCTCACAAAAAGGGGGGCTTGAGTTGTTTACAAAATTGGGATGGAAAGGTCAGAAGCTATATGGCTCAGCAAGTTGGACCTTTAATATTTTACTGTCAAAATTGAAGTAGTGTTTTGACAAGGTAATCAAAGATGAAGGGTACATCGTATGAGGGTGGTAAAGAAATATTTGCATGCAACGTATTTGGCCTTTTTATTTCTCGTTTTCTTGTCTTTGGTTCGACATGCAATATTTGTGTTTCCCCTTATTTATTTTCCGTGTTTCGTGTTGGTACTCTTAATTTCTCGTGCTTGTCCCACATTTGATAAAAAAAGTAAACCGGGACTAAATTCCAAGTCAGTCTGCATTTTTAAATTATGTGTTCCCAGGATATCATGGATATTAATTGCTATCAAGTTATAAATAATTTTTTTTTCAAATCGGATGCAACTAGCAGACGCGAAAAGGTGACCGCAGGGTCGTCGTGTCCATTATCATGACTGTGTGAACTCCAAGAACGACTGAGTAATAACTGCTAGTACTTTTTCCGTAACATTTACGATTTTATTTCTCGTGCTTCGTTTATCCCAATTTTTATTTTCCGTGCGACGTTTGGGGATTTTTATTTCACGTGTTTTCGTGTTAAGAACCCCCCTTTACAACCCTTGTATATGTCAATCAGACAGATATCCATGCAGCAGCACAAGTAATACAGAAAAAGACATTTTGGCGTTAATATTGATTCACTTATAGGGTCTTTGCATCGGCACTAAACACATTT